CTAATTTTTTTTATGTTTTTAAATAATATTCCTTTATTTTTATGTGGTGTATAAAGCTCTCCATTTTATTATTAGTTCGGCAAGAAAATGGTAAAAAACCATTAAATATGAACAAAATTTGTGGCTAAAATTTTGATTTGACTTATTTATATTTTTAAAACTATACACATAAATTTAAGATTTAATTGTAGAAAGGATATTATTAGATAATTGGTGATGTGGTTGACATTGAAAATACCAACGAATGATGTTATCTTGGTTCCAAGTTTAAGTGCAAAAACTATGATAGAGATTATCCTGAAGGAGTGTATATGTTAAATATTGTAATTCAATAATTTTTAATTACTTTGTACCTGAAAATAATAAAATCTATATATTCTATTAGATATTAATTTGTATTTTTTAAAAATGATCTTAATCTAATAACGTAAATATGACCCGTGCAACGCACGGGTGTGGTACTAGTTCGCATGGAGCGTGGCGGATATGCCCGGAATAGATCGCTCTGTTATCTGCCACCGGTTGGCCGTGAGAGAAGGAAGTCGACCGGTACGTCAGAAGAAGCGGTACCTGGCCAGTGACCGGCGAGACTTCGTCAAGAAGGAAGTGAAGGATCTCCTCAGTGTTGGTCACATCCGGGAAGTCAAATACCCAGATTGGCTAGCCAACGTTGTCCTTGCTCCCAAGGGCGACACATGGAGGATGTGTGTGGATTATACGGACTTGAACAAGGCTTGTCCGATGGATTCATACCCCCTTCCCAGTCCAGATCAAATGGTGGACGAGACTGCGGGGTGCGAACTCCTAAGTTTCATGGATGCCTTCAAGGGTTACCACCAAATCTACATGGCCAAAGAAGATGAAGAGAAGACGTCATTCCTCACACCCGAAGGAACCTACTGTTACCGGGTAATGGCGTTTGGCTTGAAGAACTCAGGAGCAACCTACCAGCGCATGGTGAACAAACTCTTCAAGCCACTGCTAGGAAAGACCATGGAGGCGTACGTCGACGACATGCTGATCAAAAGCCAGGTATCTCTCAACCACCCGGCTGAATCCTAAGAAATGCGTCTTCGCGGTTCGTACCGGGAAGTTTTTGGGATTCATGGTGACCAAGAGAGGAATAGAGCCCAACCTAGAAAAAATCTGGGCCATCACTGAAATGCAAGCCCCTACCTCCGTTAGGGATGTTCAGAAGTTGACCAGTCGTCTAGCGGCCCTCAGCTGGTTCCTTTCCCGGTCAGCTGAGAGATCCATGCCCTTCTTCAAGATTCTGAAGAAGGCCAACACGTTTGCATGGGACGAAGAATGCCAGAGGGCATTTCAGGAGCTGAAAGAGTACCTAGCGTCGGATATTGTATTGTCTAAACCCGAACCGGGTGAAACTCTGTATCTGTACCTGGGAATTTCCCCAAATGCTGTAAGCTCCGTTTTAATAAGAGATGATGGGGCACAAAAGCCCATTTATTATGTGAGCAAAGCACTAAACGGAGCTGAGAGTAGGTATACGGAGATGGAAAAGACAGCCTATGCACTTTTCATCTCCGCAAAAAAGTTAACATCCTACTTCCAAGCTCACCCGGTGGAAGTCTTGACTGACCAACCGCTGGGTGCAGTGTTGCGAAATTCAACATCCTCCGGGAGGATGGTGAAGTGGGCAATGATGTTAACTCAGTTCAACATTGAGTACCGGCCAAGGTCAGCAATCAAGGGACATGCCCTTGCAGACTTCCTGGTAGAAATGACCGGTCTAACCCCAGACCTACGAGTCAACAAACCCGCTGAGCAATGGTGGGAGATGGCAGTTGATGGGGCATCCGGTCCTAGAGGATACGGGGGCGGTATTGTGTTCACCACCCCAGAAGGGTTCAAGATCTACCATGCAATCGTCTTCAACTTCAAGCTGACGAACAATGAGGCGGAGTATGAAGCTCTGGCTGGAGGGCTCAGGCTTGCCCAAGCCCTGAAAATCAGCCGGGTCAGTATCAAATCTGACTCCCGAGCATGTTTCAAAACTTTTCCGGGTGGAAATCCTGGATCGAGCAGGCATCGAAAAATTGGAATCGCCGCTATAACAGCCGGAAGCCAATCTGACCGGTCAAACCTGGTCGGGGCGGACGACCATTGGATGTGTGATCTGATGGAATATTTGATGGATGGGAGCTTGCCAGAACAAGATGACCGGGCAAGAAAAGTGAAGCTCAGGGCACCACGATTCCAGATTCTTGATGGAAAGCTGTATAAAAGGGCATTTGGGGGGCCACTCCTGAGATGTCTAACCAACCGGGAGGCTGAGCGAGTCATAGCGGAGGTCCACAAAGGCGTATGCGCGGCGCATCAAATGTCCCGTACGCTTTCCCAGCGCATCATCTTATTGGGGTATTACTGGCCAACAATTGTCCAGGATTGGGAAAGGTATGTTCAGAAATGCAGAACATGCCAAGTGTTCTACAAGTATCCCGGTAGACCGGCGACCTACTATCACCCCGTATCGAATGTCATCCCATTCGCTAGATTCGGGGTTGATATCATCGGAGCCTTTCCAGTCGCCCAAGGAGGGAAGAAGTTCGTAATCGTAGCCATCGATTACTTCACCAAATGGATCGAGGCGGAAGCGTTGGCCAACATTACCACGCAACAATGCAAGAAATTCATTTGGAAGAACATCATCACGAGGTTTGGAGCGCCCATGAACCTCATCACCGACAACGGCCCACAATTTCGAAATCCAAGAGGCTTCGGAATCAAGCACAATCGCTCTTCGGTGGCGTACCCCCAAGGAAATGGCCAAGTCGAAAACGCCAACAGAACTATTGTAGATGGTTTGAAGAAACGGTTGGGAGAAGCAGGAAACAAGTGGCTAGAGGAGCTCCCACACATCATATGGGCATTCCGAGTAACACCCAGGAGGGCTCATGGGGAAACTCCATTCTCCCTAACATATGGGTGTGAAGCAAGGCTGTCCATCGAAGCTGAATTCCCAACGTTCCGGGAATTAAATTATCAACCCCAGCAAAATGAAGAGGACCATCTAGCTGAGCTCAACTTGGTCGAGGAACGAAGGATGGCGGCAGAGGTGAGAATGAGTACATACCAACAAGTTGTGAAAAGTACCACGACAACAAGGTTGGGCCGCGGTACTTCCAAGTTGGGGATGAAGTCCTACGAAGAAAGGAAGCGAGTAGACCAGGCGATGGAGGAAAGCTGGCAAAAAACTGGGAAGGCCCATACAGGGTTAGAGCCATCATTCGCCCAGGAACCTACCGGTTAGAAAGTCTAGATGGTGTACCGGTAGAAAGAACTTGGAATTCCCACCATCTTCGCAAATGCTACAAATGATTGTAATACTAGGCGAGGCCTAACTACATTATCAATCAAAATGATATTCAATACTCTACTTGGTAGTGGCGGAATTGATAGGTCGAACCTATCCTAGAAGGGCTTTCCGGGTGGATCGAATCCACTTGGATAAGCCAACTGAGACACAAGCCGGACCTGGCACGCTGGTTACTACACCGGTCTTGCTCAGTATAATAGAAAAAATATTAAAACCCGGAAGAGGGGCCCGGAAGAGGGTATGCCTGCAAGAGGGCTGGACCTGGAAGAAGGTTCGAACCGTACTTACACGGGCCCATGAGGTTTGACCGGTATCGGGGAATCAGCCGGCACCGTCAAACTGAGTGGGGACTAAAAGATGCCCATTAAAAGAAATAGAAGGGGATCGTCCACCGTGGCGCATCCTGTTTCCCCCTTCTCAGGGAAGACTTGAACGGGGGGTGAGCTAAGGCCTTCCCGGGATAGTAGAAATTAAAGGGCCATTAAAAGACTTAATCACCCGGAAGAGGGGGCCCTGGAAGAAGGGTGCATTTGAACCTTGGAGAGGGTTTGAAACCATTCGACATGGTTAAATCTCCAGTATTCTTACCGCTTAAGGATACTTCAAGAATTTCTAGGTTACAGGTGCTTCTATCTACAACCTACCGGTCAAAAAAAAAAGAATACCCCGGTCGGGTATGGGCACAACAAAACTTTGAAAGTTCTACAAGGTAAGGCAGTTGACCGGTCAGACTATGGAGTGGAACCTACCGGTCAAACTGTACTTTATCGAAGAATTCGTGAAGCTATCCAAAAAGCCAAAATGATGTTCAGCCGGTCCACTCTAGTTCAACCTGGTTGGACTTAGCGTATTCAAAAACAAGTCAATAAAGCGAAAATTGGAGTTTAACCGGTCCAAGTTACTCAGGCTGATCCTTGAGATAAAGTAATCAGAGAGAACTTTGAAGTTCTGCCGGTCGGAAACAATTGAGAAGTGGTCTGATTTATTTACCGGTAAGAATTTCTAAGAAGCAAGAGCAAAGTATAAATCAACAAGCAAGCAGATATGGAAGATTAACCGGTAAGGAAATTAAACATGGCATTCAAACGGAACAAGAATGTTAAATGTTTACAGATACACCGGGCATTTCCGGGGAAATGAGTTCGAAGTTTTACAAAATAATTCAACCGGGCACAGCCGAGGAGATCAGTGAAGGGGAAAAGGGGGAGTTGGCTCTTCCTCCGGGATGGGAGCCAGGCCGTAGAAAGCCGCAGTGAAGGCCGGGTCTCTCTTCAGGAGGATCCGGTGGGAGGCTGCCCGGTCTTTCTTCTGGCCGCTTTTGAATCCGAAGGACCCAATTGCCGTTATCAGCTTCTTTCCTTCAGGCTCCCGGTATAGAAGCCTGTAGGATTCCATGGTAGCCTCTGGGCTCGCCGTCAGCACCCGGGCAGCTTCAGCCTTATTTTCCTCAACCCAGGCAGCTGCGCGCCCGGGGAAGTTTTCTTCCTTCTCCGCCATCTCCCTTTTTGTTTCGGAGACCTCGTCCAGCAGCTGGCCATTCTCCTCCTTCAATCGGGTGTTCTCTGCCCCCAAGGACCCGGCCATCTTTGACAACTTGGCCAGCTCATCCGTTTTGGCTCTTTAGGATGAGGGCCAGCTCTTTGTTCTTCTTCTTCTTCAGCCTGGCCACCTCGGTTGGAGAGTCCATTCCCAACCGGTCGGCGGTGATGGGCCCAATCTCCCCAACCTGCACAACGTACAACAACCCAGTTAGTCTTTGTGTAACGTAAGGGAAAGGTTGACCGGTGATGAGAGATGACTTACCTCCCTCAGCCGCAGACCGAGGTTGATGTATGCCTCCTCCATGGTCTGATGGGCCGCACCGGGATCTGTCCTTTGCCTCTTGTTCATGGCAGAGGGATGGTTGGTGGCCACCTTCTTGGTCCGACGACCGGTCTTCTCTTTTTCCTTCCCCTTAGACCGGTAGTCTGGGGGTTTGTCCTCATCCAAAATCTCCACGGTCTCTTGGTTGACCGGGAAGGTTTTGGTAGGGTTGGCCTGGGAGAAACCCGGTTTCTCCTGCTAGTTGGTCATCGGGAATGGCAAACTCCTCGAACTCCATATCTGCAGAAGAAACTAAAACCGTTAAGTACAAGGAACGATACCGGTCAACTACGAATCACAAGAAAAATGAGAAATACCTGGGTGGTTTTGGCCCTCAGCCTCTGCAGTGTTGCCCGGGGAGGGTACCTCGCGCCCCGCTGCTTCATGGGCTTGGGAGGTACCCTCACCACCCGATTCAACCCGCCAAACCCAGCTCCCATAGTGGAAGACCCTCCCGGTGTATGGATCGCCGCGCATAAGAATTTCAAGACTTGCTTCCAAGTCAGGGGAGGAAGCCGGTGCAGCGTGCTCTTGATCGAGAAGATGGTCATTCCATTTTAGACCGGCAAAAGGAGTGACGAAGGGGGAAAACTCGATGAAAACAAATTTTTCCTTCCATCCCCGGTTACTCTGGGGGACTTCGGAAATGAACTTCCTACCGGTACGGGCTTTGAAGAATACAAAACCTTCGCAGCCAGACCCGCCCGGTAAGACTTCAAAGCAAAAAAGAAAAAGACGCAAGGAGGGATCGATTTTCAGGTGAGAGCAAATATTTACAAAGGAATGGAGATACCGGTGGGCGTTAGGAGTTATCTGGCCGTGTAAAATCCTAAACGCATGGCATACTTCGGTTAGGAGGGGGCGAAGAGGAAAAACGATGCCCGCATCTAGGGAAATCATGTGGAACCCTATCATATTCTCCCGGTGGGGTTCAACAATGTTGGGCCAGTTATGTTCATACAGAAGTGTATACCCATCCGGGAGCCTCCTACGGATTTTGTTCAAAGCAATTTTGGATACATGGGAAGGAATGTCGAGGACGTAAAAGGTGGGGAGCGGAAAGTAACCGGCGGCATGGAGCCGCTCCTCCCACGTGTCCCGGGTTTCGTTTTCAGGGTCATAGGGACCCGGTTCGCCATCAACCGGCTCATCCCTCCCCATAAAAACTTCACCGGGCATCTGATTAACAGGTTGCGGGTCGGGGATATAGGAGTTGGGAACCTGACCGGGCATGGAGTCAGGAGAAGAAGACCCGGTCGAGGAAGATGAGTTGGAGTCCTCAGAGGAGCAGTCCAACTCAAAGAAGACATAACCGGGAAGGAAAGTTGAGATGGGAGGAAAGCTTACTTGACTCGGAGGGCTGAAAAGCGAAAGAGAAGGAACTTGACCGGTGAAAGCTCTGAGACTTGATCGCGGAAAGTGAACAAAGAAGAGGGGTGGAGGCCATTATATAGGAAGAGGAGGGCTGAAAGGAGCGACGTGGCCTCTTCAGGTTGCGCCGCGTCAGGCAGCGCAATGATGACCCACTTGCAGGCAAAACGACGGGTCTGCAGTCGACTGATTGCAACGGTTCATGCGCGACACGTGGCAAAAATCAAAGTTTGAAATTCAAATTTCAAAAATTTTAGGCGAGAAGAGCCAAAATTTCAAAATTGGAGTCCTATTTCAGATTTTTTACTTCCCGCTCATGACAAATTGCATGACCGAGAAGTGGAGGGCTTATTGATGGGTGTATTCCACCCACGACCGGTCAAAGGAGAAGACCAGTTAGTTGACCGGTCAATCTCGAAAGTCTTGGAAGGGGGACTTAAATCATCAGCAAATCGATATGTAATCGGCCAAAAGATGACCGGTATACTTCACGAAAAAGTATACCGGTCAAACTACGTTGTCACCCTATTTATTCCCTGACTTCGATGAATTCATCCCTCGGAGATTACCCGGTGTAGTTTCTAGGGTTGGAAAGTGTCGGCAGAAGAGAATCTAAAAGGGGCTTGGCGTGTAGCGACCCATGTCAGTGGAGGACAACTGGAGATGCTGAAGGAATGTTTCCAAGCCAGAACGCGACAAGGGAAGTAATTCCCCTCACAAGGCGACAAGGCTGCTCGAGGACAAAACCAGTCACCTCGCACCACATCAGCAGCGTGCCCCCACGTGGACGCACGTGGTCCTGTCCCCCTTAGCCTAGTATAAGTACTCATGTAAACCTCGGAAAGAGGGATCCGAATTCACTCTCTCTAAACTCCCTTGTAAAAGCACCCGTGCATTCTCCGTTATAATATAAATTGGGCTACAGGTGTTCCACCGAAAGTCCTACCGGCCAATCTGCGTGTTTTCACCTTTCTTACTTTACCAAATCAAGCAAACTATTCTAGACCCGGTCTAGTACAGTTTGCCCGGTCAAGTAATTTACACCATCAGTTACACTGCTACACACACCACATTGTCACGTTATAACTACGACATTATCACCATCACACTGCTATCTATCGTCGTCGGCCACCAGAGTGTCGTCGCGGACCACCGAAGGTTGACTGAGTACACTAATATATTACACTGTCATCACTACCAACACAAACTCTTGCACCACATTGTCATTGTACTCTTATTTTGATCTTAAAAGACTAAGGATTCCTATTCTGCTATTTTAATATTTTTTTACTCCTATCTTGTGAGATTTCTTTAATAATAATTCTACGTATTTAGAGATTGACCTTCACTCTTATTTAATTGTTATTGTGTATGAAGTAACCACATAGAATTTTCTTTTTTTAAAACATGAATGGAATTTTTACACCAACGGGTGTCAATTCAAAGATAGTCTTGGAATAACAATTTTTCACTCATGTGTCTTCCAGATAAACCAATCGAATACCATTACATAAATCGATCGAATGATCAATGCTTCCTTAGTGTCCATGTGTAATTATTATAGAGCATGTTTAATAAAAATGTTTAGTTATTAATGTAACTGTCCATAAATAATAACTCTGACCGTGATTAATAATTCATATAAAACATTAAGCATTTTCATAGTGTTGAATAAAAAATTCAATCAATTTGATACTAAATATCGAAAAAAATAAACATGTTTAAAATTTGATAGAGATTATTAAAAACCCAAATAAAAATATGTAACACAATGTTTCCATATATTGATGAATAAATAATGGACAAATTATTTTTGATATTAAAGTAAAATATTATTTTTGTATATAATACTATCATTTCCGTAAATAGTATTAAATGCATATACATACATACAGATATAGATATATATATATATATATATATATATATATATATATATATATATATATCTATGTGTGTGGAAATAAATACTCTATTATAATAGTTGGTATTATTTTCATATATTATTTTTTACCTGACATAATTGTTTTTTATATTAACGTAAAATATAATTGTAAATGCATACATATAGAAATATAATTTATATTCAACATTAAATTAAAATATTATACACACACACACACACACACACACTATAATATCATTTCCGTAGATAATAATAAGAGCATATATATGGAAATTTTATCTCTATTATATTAGTTTTATTATATTATTAATATTATTAATATTATTTTCAAAATAATATTGTCACTATCATTAGATTTCGGTTCCTTTATAATAATATATTATTATTTCTGCAAAAAAAAATTTAAATACATAAATATTTCCATAAATAGTATAATGCATTAAATGCACAAAACATTTACATAAAACTTCCGCACATAATACATTTAATGTATAATTATTTCCATAAATAATGCATTAAATGCACATAATATTTCCATAAAATTTTCCCACCCATTTTTTGGTCAACTATTCCCCTGCTTTTAAATGCACATAATATTTCCATAAAATTTTCCCACCCATTTTTTGGTCAACTATTCCCCAGCTTTTAAATAAAGTATAGATTATAGGACGGATGAAGTATTATATTTTTATATGAAGTGATATTTGTAACATGCAAAATAATTTATGTAATATACATAAAGAATGTAGTAATTTTGTAGAATAACATACTTATTTTCTAATATTTGGTTTTTTAATACCGAGCAATAATACATTCTTTTCACTATATAGAGAGAAATTGACTATTTCGTTTTCACAAAGATTAAAAAAGTAGTGATATTGAAATATATTTAATATTTTAAAGGAAATGCTGAAATATATTAATGATTAGTTATTGTCAATAATTTTCTTATTTTACATTTTTATATGTATATATGAATTGTAATACTTTAAAATTATTAAGTTTCTTGCAATAATTATAAGTTTAATTTAAATCAAATTTATATTCAATTATACCGTATCCGAACCAATCAAATCAGATCAAATTCAATCAAATGAGATCAGATTCAGTCAGATCAGATATAATCAGACCAGTTTCAATCGGATCAAGCCTAAAAAAATAGAGCCTTACACATACCATCATAGAAAAAGATTGCGCAAATACCCGTGCCCTGTGATGGGATTTGAAAAAAACTGAAGTAGTTGTCCATCATTATACTAGAAGGCAACATCACACCTTTTGAATCATAGGTAGGGTGAATAGTTTGGTTGTCCGCTACGATTTTAGAAATGAGCAATTGAGCATCAATACCCTTCTCTTGTTTTTTACTCTCTCCGTCCTAAAACATTTTTCTCATTTCTGTTTTTGAACTTTATTTTCAATTCAATTTACTTGATTGTGTGTGTAAAATTAAAAAATAAAATTTATATATTTAAAAACTACATCAAAAGTTTTAAAAGATAAAAGGGGACAAGACTATATTATTTTATCAAATAACTAATAAAAATAGATAAAAAAAATTGATTAATGTTTGACCATGTGAATAGTAACTAGAAGAACAGTTTAGGGCAGCGGGAGTATTATTTTTCTTTATTTCTCTTTTTTCATAAATGTTTATTAAGTTCTTTTTTAAGCCTATTTTAGAATGTTTTAGTAATCAAATTTTTGTGTTTGGAATAATAATCAATTAAATAAAAAGAATTAACGTACACTTCATTTGTCTCAAATTAAAAATTCTCGTTTTTTGTCCAAAATAAGTTCTAACAATTCATTTTCATGATACAAATATCGATGAAACATTTTCTCTTTTTTCATTGAAGCTCATTTCTCATTTTCAGTTCATTTTTGGGTTTCTTTTTTCTTTTTTTATTTTTTAACATTAATTTTATAACATTTTTTCTTTTATTTAAAATTTAAAAAAATAAAAAAGAACAATAAAGAAAATGAATAAAAAGAAAAGAATATGATAAAATTCTTTTATAGAATAACAAAAATTAAGTCATGAAAGAAACATATTTTCCATAGGTCCAAAAAATGTTATGAATATATAATTATCTAAATATAAAAAACCTTCCTCTGGATATTTGTGGACTCAACATATTCAAAAATGAAGAACTTTTTTTACAAACAATGAAAATATTTAATTTGAGAGAAATAAGTATACGTTAAATTTTTTATTTCCAACACAAATCATTTTTATTTTCTAAAAGATTATAAAAAATAATTTTGGAAATAAACTTTTCATTATTTTAAACACAAACTTTTTTCTTTTTTTTATTTTTTAACATTAATTTTATAACATTTTTTTCTTTTATTTAAAATTTAAAAAAATAAAAAAGAACAATAAAGAAAATGAA